CAAGCACGTATCTGGATAAACTTATGGCCCACTTGCTGACACAATTGATGCCTGTTTTGTGGAACTTTATCTGTTTAAGATTCCTTCACCAGTGCTGAAACAAGTCATAGACTACCCAGTGTTATCAGTGCTTTCAGAAGATCCCAGAAGATCATGATGGGAAAAAAAGGGGAGATTAAACTGACAAAAATTCCCCCTTTGTGTCTTTAAGCCAATGGTTAACATCTGTGTGTTACATGTTATAGCTGGAGAACTTAAAACTTACGAACAACTTCAGAAATTCAATGAATTCTGTCTAAGTTTTCCCAGGTAAATCTTCATAATTTATTAGTGGCATAAAATACTAGAGGATGAGGTCCTAAAAAGGAATTATGTGGCGTGATAAAACTACAGTACAGCCAAGGGATTTTGGTTAAGTTATCTTATCCAAATGACTGATATCTACTGCTAGGAAGATTGTCTAGGGTAAAATAAAGCTCAGCCACTGTCCTGCAGTAGGAAGTATAAGAGAGAGAAATGTTGTCTAAGGACTTCAGTTAAAAATTTAAAATATGAAATGATGCATGAAAGCAGGAAGCTTGTTACAGAAAAAAAAAATGGTGCAGAATTTATTCATAAAGATCTAATTTTCTTTGAATTAGTTGTAGCAAGCTTGCCAAAGGAACAACCAAAGGAAATATAGAGTAATGTCTCATTTGTTATCTCATGGCTAATAGAAAAAAAGGAAGATTCTTGGAAAATGTGATGTAAAAGTCACGATTAAGGTTAATGAGGGGAAGACATTCCCAGCTGTCATAATGGATTATGATTAACACCTGCTATGCAGTATTGCTGCCTCAGAGGATTGGGGAGGTCCATGTTCTAACTGAATAAACTGATTTGAATGTGTTGACATTGACCAATAGCATGGTCGGGCTTCTCAGTGCTCCAGTGAAAAGGGGAGATTCTATCAATCGTGAGAAATATTAAAATTTTTTTCTTTTAAGAGAGAAAATTTTGGCTCATTGGGAAACTAATGGCTCAAAAGATCCCAAGCTGGGATTACTAATATGTTCTGTATTACTACAAGACTATAGATTTCATGGTAAGTGAAGTAAGTATGTGAGTCTTAGAAGAGCTGGGAAGGGTCACTTTCAAATGGAATGATTTTACCTGTGTAAAATCACAGTTTTACCTGTGGTACAGAGAACACCCTGCTCCAATTAATGCTAGCATTGTTTGTGGCATATTCTAATGCCATAAGAATATTTTAAATTTCTTTTAAATTGTCTTTTGTCATTTTAATGAGGTCTGTTTGTAAATGGTCACTGACATGCAATACTTCACTTTGAAAAGCCCAGTGCAGTTGCTTCCTGAAAGGCATTAGATAAACAAAGCTGCAAACTGATGGCTTCTGTTCATCTCACAATGAAATACTGTGTTTGGGTCTGATGAAGTTTCCTTCAGCACTGCATTTTAAAATTTGATTTTGAGAAAGCATCTTGACATATAAAAAGTTAGTTGCAGTCCCTTGTATACCTTAACTAAAACTTGTGAAAAAAGGGGCACTAGAAACTGGTCTGTATATAGTGAAGTGGAAAGCCCTGAGGAATACTGAGTCTCACTAGGAAAAGAAAAAAAGGGGCAAAGTTTGTATGACTGAGGACTTTATGGAATTACAGTCTGGAGGTGAAATCATGCTGTTGTTTTTTCTTGCCTAGGGAATTCAAATACAATGAGAGACTAGCTGTGTTTCAAGATAAATCTTTAGTAAATAGTTAGATTAAGAAATTTGACGGAACTGTGGAGACATCCCACTGGAGTATAAACCCATTTATGTTCCCTATGAAAATCAGATTTTGAAGGAACAGGATGAAAGATTCAATCCTTTTCTTAGCTGACATAGCATTAGAGTCAGAGTTGATAGGAACTCTGTCATGATACATTCCTGTTGGACACATGTTTTTACAAAGGCACTTTAATAAATTTGTTGAGGATGAAGGCATTTACCTCAATTCCTTTATTCTGGTCACGAGAACATTTTTAAAGGTTATGTCTCATACCTTAGATAACTCCTGATATTTCTTCAGCTGCTTCCCTCCCTATTCACCATCTACCTGAGATTTTAGCAAAGTCAGTCACCATTCACCTCTGAAAAATCTGATTCAGACTCACAAGGAAGAGAACCAGTATAAGATATTAATTTGTATGTTAAAGTTAAAATAAACTTTTTTAGCTTTTGGTATTTCCCAAGAAATTTCCAAGAAAACCGCCTACTTTCTGTTTATGTTGTAATTTCATTCTTTTTTCCCTCCTGTATGTTTTTAACTTTTTAGAGATAGTGAGCTGCTTATGCCACAGAAAAGTCAGTCATTTAAACCAATGTTTCATTCTTTATTGTATTGCCCCACCTTCTCTCCTATTTTTACAAAGCTGGTTGGCTTGACTTGACCAGTACCACATATAATCATGTAAAAGAGGGTGAGGTTTTGAAAAATATTTTTGTCTTTATTTAAAGTTTTGATTATTGTCTTCATTAGGCCATTTGATAAGGAAAGGCCCCCAGCTACTTCACTGCAGTCCAAGAATTCCATTGTTTATATTTTCCTCAAAACAGTGAAGCTCCCAACAAGAGAGGTAGCTGCACTTCAGAAGTTTCCTTTTTTCCAATTAGTGACTCTGGCTTTCACAAAGTTCTCCTCTCTACATGAACTAGTGTCAGTGAGAATAAGAAGAAGCCACTCATGCCATCACTCAAGACAAATCACCTGTTTCTGCCTGTGCAAAACAGCCCATCAGTTACAGACATGGAGAACTATATTGGCCTGCACTTTGCTTGCTCCTTCCCGTGATTGCTGGCTTCTCACTGAAAGCATCTTGCCCATTAAAATAGCATCTCCTTGGTTAGAGAAGGGACAAATGGACCACTGCTTCTGGGTAGTGACTATTACAGACTTATATGTATAAATTTACACCTGTAAGTTTACATATCTTAAATTACAGACTTCCATATGTAAATGCCTAAGAAGGGCCACTCAGGGTGTAAAAGCTTACTTTGGGTATCAGAGAAGAACGCTCCTTTATAGTATGCATCGGTGAAAATGCCACATTGCTAGCTTAATTAAAGCACTGTATAAACTTAGCCAGAAATTAAACTGATTTAAAAAATTGTTGGGAAACTGTCAGTTGGTACTTTTAAGGTCCAAATGTCTACTAGGGAAATGAAGTGGATAATTCATACTGGGCCCTGTAATCATGACCGACAGTTGGACTTTGCAGTAACTGAAACTGAATGATCATGCAGTGTATTGATCACGATCCAGTGTAGATGGACTGCTTAAAAGAAAATCTGGACTCCTTCATTTCAGCCTAGACTGGTTAAATTACTTCCTGTGTTTTAAGAGGGAGGCATTATGGCTAATAGTCTTCATATAAATATACCGATGTTGATCCAGAACTGACTTAAAACTGTGAGGATTTTAAAACCTCTGTGAAATCATCTGAACAATACCTGATCAACAGGAGCTTAAATATATGGGACCCACTAGAGACAGCACTGTATTGATGAGCAACCCATATTTATCTTCAGAGTCCAATAAAACGTCAAGGAGGTAGAGGATGTCAGACACCACCTGATACTTGCACGTCAGACACCACCTGCCAAGTGCTATTTGGATTATCTTGTTAAGATAAAGACAGAAATATGGATACTAAATACTAGGAAAGGAAAAGTGGACTTTAAATAATCGCAAAGTCAGGAACACAGAATTATGCAGTCCAAAGCATCTGTGTCAAAATGTAGTTATTTTCCATTCTGTAAATAGAAACACTCTGCTGTGAGTCACCTTAGTCCCAAACTGAGTTGGATTAATTAGAGAAAATACAGTATTAATCTTTCTCTTAGCATTTGCCCAGAGCAGTTGGAAAATATTAGCTAGTATATGCCACACAAATGACTAGACCTTGTGTAGAAGAAACGCCTCCTTCAACCCAGGGATATTTACTTCCAAAGTAGGCACCTTGGCTTAGTTTTTACTGTTCTGCCTATTCTGCCTGCAGTACTAAAAAGTCAGATCAGATGCATCCATGTCTTAGTCATACTGAAACTTTTCCTCTGGGATATATGTGAATTCCTTCAGTGAAAAAACACCAAAACCAACCTGGCATTAATTTACTCCATCTTTTATACCAATCAGATAATTTATTATAACCACAGGATTCAGGAGGTAGTAAAGCTTTCAGTTGGCTGCTTAGCTCTCAGGAAAAAGTAAGCCCAAGGAGAAAGGCTGGAGAGCTAGATTAGCAAATGGCCTTTTTTCATCCTAGGATATGCATCTGGAACAGGTGGAAGTGAAATGAAGAAACAGGGATATGGCCAGTGTCCAACACAAAGTAGCTAACAGAGGGCAAGCTGAGTGGTCACAAAGTTAGCAATGTTCTTATGGAAAGACAAATTCACAGTATTTAACCTGCTTGCCACTGGTGAATGATTTTATGAAAAACAAAATAAAATTAAGCAGGTGATTGATTTTCACAACAGTCAAGGTAAAGAAAACTCTGAGCAAAGCAACTATTTGTTTCTCCCATCATAAGTATACTGCTGATCTGTGTCTGAAGCTCTCTTAAAGCTAGAAATAAGGAAAATCCCTTTACCTTTTTGATTAAAGACCAAAGTTTTAACTTGGTATTACCTTGCCTGTGCATGTGACATTAGGGAAGAGAAAATCATATTCAATGCATAACACAGTTAAGGAAAAATTTAAGAGGTAGGACCAGTTTACTTCATCCAAGCCACGTAATAAACACTTCTTTTGTTGATGTTCTATGGTGGTAAATAATTTATTTCTTCTGTGATACCCCTTTGGGTGATTAATCTTCATATCTATGTGCTTATGAATTTACCGATCTGTTTGTCTGTAAGTCCCCTGGAAGATGACATCCCATGTGCTCACATTTATGTTCTTTCTCTTGCAGTTTACTGGAGATTCATCTGCTCAGAGTGCTAAAGATTGACTGTTGGGAGTAACCTAAAAATAAGAGAGTACCAGGCAGTGTATTTGATGAGATTGAGACTTCCTTCCTGGTAAGTGGACAGCTGAATGACTCAGCCATTTATCAAATGAAGATGGAGAGAAATGGAGGTGCCTGGGGGAAAGAATTACTTATTATGGATAGCAATTGGTACGACATGGATATGAATCATGAAGAAAGCAGTTAGTTTAGAAAGAGGTGAAAGAAGGCTCTGCCACATTTCAGAAATACCAGAGGACAGGTGACTGCATTGAATCTTAGAAATACAGTTATCATGATTTCCAATTACTGGTCAAAAGTGATTCCTGTCTTTAAAGTTCCTTTCCCACAAGGAGACCAAAGCTACAAACTCTTACTACGTAGGAAAGATTTCTACCACCTAGAATTTAATTTTGTTTCTAAGTGTGTAAGACACTTGGTCACCTCCTTGATTTAGAGAATGAAATCTTGGTCACCTCCTTGATTTAGAGAACAAAATTAACACTGTTTTGGTTGAAATTTAGATTGAAATCTTTGGTAATTGCTAAAGGAACTGTAGTCATTATCATAATAACTCAGGTAGTGTCAGTGTCAGAGGTAATAAATGAAGTAACAAAGATGCTGTCCTTGGACAGAGGAACCAAGCACCAGGTTTAGCTTCTGTGAGAAGACTGAAGAAAAATTTGAATACCCTTAAACCACCATTGTACAAAAGGAGGAAAAGGCAAGGAAAAATCTTTAAATAAATATCCTAATTTTTGACTTGGAATTCTTTTGTAGAACAAGTAACTTATAGAACAAGAAACTGGTCTTTCAGGTTTTCTACCTGAAAACCACAGTAGAAATAAATATATCAAGAGATAGCAATGAGTATTGTAAATTATGTTCTTTTTCCAGTTTATTGTTGGTGATAATCTAATATCTCTGAGAATGTTCATGGAAGAATCTTGTTTCTCAGCTTGTGTCTTTTGGTCAGTGTTTGCAGTCCCTCTGTATAACCTTTACAAAATTCTGTATAAATTCTGTAAAACCTTTTTCTTCATATTCTTCACATTCTTTGCATTTTGCTGATGTTGTGGAATTCAACTGAAAAACAAAGCGCAATAGTAAAGCAGGATACTGATCTATTGATTCTGATAGAGAATTAAGTTTTTTCTCCTGTCTTTGTGGATAATTCCAATGCAGATAATGGCTACAGAAAACACTGGTGGTGCTTATGGTCTGTGCAGTTCTTGGCTTACTTTCTGAATAGGATCAGCTTTCAAAGATACCTCACTTCAGTGAGAGACGCAAATGAGTGTCCCTTGGAAAATTAGGATACTTCTCTGCATGTGTCTAACCATATCTGACTTCAGGTACCAAAGTTAGAAACTGTTAATTATACATTCAAACATCCTGACATACTCGTGCATGCACAAAAGTATCTACTTTGATGGGAACCCTGAAAGCGTTTTTTTTTTTAGAAAAATTCTGCTTTTTCATTATTACCCATACAGGTTGCTGGATCTCATTTCTTTTCACCTGCACCATTTCACTTCTTATAAAACAGAAAAGGTATTTCTGCTACTGAAGAGACATTTTACATTTGCCTTTTTTCCACAGACTCTTAGTGCTACTTACCTTTTTATTTCCTAAGCTTGCATTTCCATTTTTCCATATGTTCACTACATCCTGCGTTTCACTACAATTTTTGATACGACATTCCTGAATAATCACTTCTGTCTCTAGGAAAAAGCATCTCATTACAGGTTCTTGGCATTCTTCCTGAAAAAAAATGCAGTTGTAATAGTTTTATGAATAAGAAGGAATAAGTGACTGTAGGACATAATTTATGATATAATTTATGATATAAGTAAGATACCATTTAAAAGTACAATCAGCCTGGAAGTGGTTGAGTTTTACTTACTAAACATCTTTTCTTATTATTCAAATACTTTTAAATATCAGCAGAGATGGGCTGTGAGACCTAAAAACAAAAAGGCCAGCAAGTTTGCTAAGATGAGTGAAATGTAGTGTTTTAGAGAAGAATATAGGAAAATAATTAATTAGGATAGGAATCTGGGATATAATTAAATGTAGTGGAATTAAATTAGTATTATTATTAATAGCTTTAACACTTTCATTCAGAGATCTGAATTCAGAATGGGTAGGGGAGAAGAGGAACTAGATATTACCTGTATTTCACAAATTAAAGAAAAAGAAGCAGAGGTGCTAATTTCTCCATCAAGTCAACGATAAAGCCAAGAATAAGTCCCAGGTTGTTTGTCTGACTTCCATATCATACTGTCCCACTGCAAGAAAATCTTCCTGACATTACTAGGTATTACATCAGCCATTTTAATGGATTAACCTCTCTGGCTCGGTTCAATTAAGAGAATGCGTGTGCAGGTGTGGACAAGTGTGTTTTGTGAGCTTTTTCCATGTCATGTACAGACACATCAGGTTTTGTGTTTTCTCAGGCTTGCCAGTTCCACCGAAGACATCAATACTGCACTCTGCAAGCACCCTGAGACTATTCTGTGCTGAGATAGTCATTCCATCATTTCTAGGATAACCTTCCTCTTTGTGGAAAAAAAAAAATCCTGTCTAGGATATCCGTACTCTTGAACTTCAGGATCCACGGATTGTCTGTATTTGGCACAGTCTGAGTGGGAATGTTTATGTTGTCAGGAAAGCAATGTCTCAGGAGCAGGCTACTATCACAGCAATGAAGCCAGCCAATTGTACCAGGGTTATGCCAAAGGTGACTGCTAGGAGTGGAGGAATGGTTGGCTTCATTTTCTTGGTGGGATTCATGTGTCCCACGGAGTGCAAAGTGAGCTCCACAGCAACAGATTGTGAAAAATTCTCTTCAGCAATGAATTTATAGATACTGCATTTTTTTTGTCACTTTTTTTCCCTCCCTAAATTGCAAATGAATACCAACATTCTTTTAGCAATGTTTGCTTGGAGAAAATAGTTTTCGATCACAGAATCACTGAACGACTTGGGGTGGAAGAGAGCTTAAAGATGCTCTAGTTCCAACCCCACTCTATGCACAGGGACTCCTTCTTGTAGACCAAGTTTGTCAAAGCCCCATCCAACATGGCCTTGATCATCCCTTTCAATTATTTAATTTTAATAGCAGGTGATTCAATAAAAGTAGTCAATACCTGCTTACATAATATATCATAAGTACTTTAATTATCAGAACTGTTTATTCAAAGGTGAATTATTTGATTTTAGAAACTTTTATCAAATTAGACCAAGACTCTTTTAGGAGAAAGTTGCTAGTAAAGAGATGGAGCCCCCATATTAGAGCAGTTGTGGTCAAATTCAAAGTTTACTTACATCCTCATCTGTGTTTGCAGTATATAAACTGACATCAATATCCTAAAAGAAAAAACAAGAGTTGGGATTAGGAGCATTAGCTAACACATTTAGAGATAATCAAGCTTACTCTTCAATACACAGATTAGCTACCAAGTTCAAAGGCCAAATCCAGCCAGGTCTTAAAGTCAGCCAGTAACCTGCAGAATGGGCTTCACTGTGAGGGAGACCCTCAGAACTAAGTCCCACAATATTATGTCTGAAGGGGCTAACTCTCAAGCCCACTGTCCCTTTTCTTAGGAAAAGTGCTGAAGAAAATAATATTTAATGCTGGAGTCTGCAGTATTTGGTCAATTCCAATTTCCTTTAACCCTCTGTTTCCACCCATGAAACAGCATTGTACAAATACCATCTCTTTCCCTGCTCCCTCACACTGACTCTTCTTAGCTGAGTGCAGTGCTACATATTTAATTGTCTTCACCTGTGATTATATGAAATGCTGACCTTTTTAAGAACTTACTTTGGATGTCTTGATCTTCTCCAAATCTTTCAGAACTTCTGCCCACTTGCAATGACCTGCTTCTGTCTTTGGTACATAAGCACTAGAACAGAAGAAAAAGTGATCATTAGGCTAAGCAGTAGGTATATACAAGGTTTATGCTGAAAAAAAGAGTCAGAAATTATAAGATATTATAGACACATTGTTTACATGTATATATATATATGATTAATATGTGGGGCACTGTATAGATGCATAAAACTGTCACACACTGTATAAACAGTCAATGTGGGGTTTTTTTTTAAAGGCCAGATTTACAGAACTTAATGCAAGAGAAAGGTTCAATTACTTAACATAACATACCTAAAATTCTTTTAAAGTATACAAATAGAATTCCAAATCCACTCTCTAAAGTGACTGGAGACAAGTAACAGCTGCAATAGTAAAAATATGTATTTACTGTCTAATTAACGTCGACTTTGTAGTTACCATAAGATGATTAGTCCCATCCCATTCTTTAAAAGGCAAAAGAAATGGCTGTTCAGAAGAAGATACAGCTGATACTGCAGACAAATATTTTTCAGGTGTATTTTCTGAAAGACACAACCAAGGTGATACCTTGTCACAATCTGATTGCACAGAATTTTGCTTTAGTACTGACTTAATTAACCAATTTGCCAAGACATCCAATCAAGGCAGGACTACCTGTTGTGTGTAGCAGGAAAGACCAGCAGATTTGTATCTTGCAGAAGTATATAATCACTTTACAAAACAGTTGGTAGAAAAACAGATGCTGAAGGCACACTGTGAAAACCTGAACTCATCCTGAGCTCCCTATTTATTTATCTGTTCATACTGCAAGCTGCAATTTAATGCAGAGACAATATTAAAGAGCTTTTGTTTTGATTACAATCTTTCCCCTGGCTACCTTTTGTCACCCAAATTCAGTTAGTTACCTACAACCAGAACATTAACTACAGTATTGTGGTTGCATATATCAAAAACTATGCATCAAATGCTATAGTTACGTGTATAAATGTTAAATATAATATTTAGAGTATATACTACTTTACATAGTGTATGTCTGTCTAATCATAGAATCACAAAATATTCTGATTGGGAAGGGACCGATCAGGATCATCAAGTCCAGCTCCTGGCCCTGGGCAGGACACCCAAGAGTCACACCATGTGACTTAGAGTATTGTCCAAATGCTTATTGAACTCTGTCAGGCTTGGTGCTGTGACCACTTCCCTGAGGAGCTTTTCCAGTCCTGTGGGTGAAAAACTTTTTCCTGATATCCAACCTAAACCTCCCCTGGCTCAGCTTCATGTTGCTTCCTTGAGTCCTTTCTCTGGTCACAAGAGTGAAGAGGTCAGTGCCTGCCTCTCCTCTTAGCCTCATGAGGAAGTTGAAGACCATAATGAGGTCTCCCCTCACTCTCCTCTTCTCCAGGCTTAGCAGACCAAATGACCTCAGCCACTCCTCTTACAACTTCCCCTCAGGGCCCATCATCCTCTTCATTGCCCTCCTTTGGACACTCTCTAATGGCTTAATATCTTTTTTATATCGTGGCACCCGAAACTGCACACAATATTCAAGGTGAGACCGCCCAAGTGCAGAGCAGAGCAGGACAATCCCCTCCCTCAGCCGGCTGGCAATGCTTTGCCTGATGCCCCCCAGGACATGGTTGGCCCTCCTGGCTGCCAGGGCACTGCTGACTCATATTCAACTTGCCGTCAACCAGGATCCCCAGGTCCCTTTCCATGGCACTGCTTTCCAGCCTCTCATTCCCCAGTCTGTCAGTACATCCAGGGTTGCCCCATTCCAGGTACAGAATCCAGCAGTTCCCCTTGTTGAACTTCATGTGGTTGGTGATTGCCTAGTCCCCTAATTTATCAGGGTCTCTCTGCAGGGCCTCTGCCCTCAAGGGAGTCAAGCAGCTGCTCCCAACTTAGTGTTGCTGGTAAACTTACTTAGTATTCATCTGAGTCCTGCATCCAGGTCATTAATGAGTAAGTTGAAGAGAACTGGGCTGAGGATGGGGCCCTGCAGAACCCCACTAGTGACAGGTCGCCGGTCTGATGTTACCCCTTTCAGTGTAACTCTCTGTGCCCAACCTGCGAGCCAGCTGCTTACCCATCACGTAACATGGTTATCCACCTGTGTGCTGGACATTTTGTCCAGGAGGATACTGTGAGAGACAGTATCAAAAACTTTGCTGAAGCCCAAAAAGATAATATCTACTGGCTTTACTAGATCAACTAGGTGGATTATCCTGTTGTATAAGGAAATCAGGTTTGATAAGCAGGACTTCCCCCTCATGAAGTCATGCTGACTGTGACCGATGACTGCATTGTCCGCCAGGCATTTTTTAATACTCCCCAGAATAATCTTTTCCATGATTTTCCCAGAGAAAGTGAGACTGGCAAGCCTGTAGTTTCTGGGGTCCTTCTTCTTGCCTGTCTTGAAAATTGCCAGCTTCCCGTCAGCCAGAACATCTCCAGATTCCCAAGACCACTTGAAAAATCACTGAGGCTTTGTGATGACATCAGTAGCTCTTTTGAGGATTCTCAGATGAAGCCTGTCTGTCCCCATAGGTTTGTAGGGATCCTGATGGAACAGTAGATCACTCACAGTTTCAAGGTCAGCTTAGAGTTGATAATTCTCACAGTCATGGTCCTCCAGCTCAGGGCACTGAGACCCCTTGGTCCATCATCATATTGAAGACAGAGGCAAAGAAAGCATTAAACATCTCTGCTTTGTCTCTGTCTCTGTTTGTGAGGTGACCATCCTCAATCTGCAATGGGTTGATGTTATTTCTATACCGCCTACTGCCCTTAATATATTTGAAAAAACTTTTTGTATTGTCCCCCACATTTCTGGTAGCTTCAACTCCAGTTGAGCTTCGGCTGAACAAATTTTCTCCTGACAGTGGCAAGCAACGTCTCTGAATTATTCCTATGTCACCTAAGCTGGCTTCCACTGGGCACATACCTTCATCATCTTACTTGCAGAAGAAGATCTCTGTTCAGGTAAGACAGCCTTCTGCCTTATTTGCTTGACTTGTGACATTTGGGAATTGCCTGATCTGTGCCCTTAGGAAGTGTTTAAAAAGTGTCCAGCCCTGATGGACTCCAATACCTGCAAACACATTTTCCCAGGGTAATTTTCTACTGGGTAGCGATGCATTTACGAATTTTGTCAAGGGTGTCTGGCAACTGGAAATAAGGAGGAGTTGTGAGCCATGTGTTCACCATCAGGAAACATTTCCCTGTGCACAGCCTGGTAACCTTTGTGCCAAAGTCACGAGCCCTTTGATTTAAGCTGATATAGTTCCTTCAGAGATCTAGGTTAATTATCTGCAGCAGTACAGTGCTTTTGATCCAAGATTTTAATTCTTATCATACATGCAATACTTTTAACTGACTCAAATGACATTCCTTTAGCAGTAATTTATTTACAAACTTGCAAGTAAATATTTAAAAATGGGTCAGAGAACATAACATAACAAAACAAAACAAACCACTGTGCAGTGGTAAAAATTTCCAAATGGGAGATTAATCCATAAACTGTCAGGATTCCAGCTAACTTGCTGAAAGCCACCTTAATAAAGCAAAGCCAGGAGAGTAATAATTATCTGTGTCACAGGGGACTTCTGAAGAGTATTTGTAACAAATATTTCCTGCTCTCTTAGGTGGAGAGTTCTTTAAATACTTTGCAATTATTTTGTTTCTAAACCCCAAAGATACAGCTAAAATAGCATAATAACCTAATCATACATAAATGTCTACATTCTGTAAAGGAAAGCAGTGTCAGACCCTTTTATCCCCTTTATTTGTCCAAAATCTGTTAAATAAGAACTATGTAAATGAACTCTGATAATCTAAGTTTCTATCTGGACAGAGCAAACAGCATCTCATCCATCTTCTGAACAAACTCAGTACAGAGGGTGCTGTGTTATTAGCAGCCAAAGTAGGCCTCAAAGAAAGGCTCAACCTGTCCCTGTTTCCACCACAAATGGAAATTTAAAATATGTAAGTATTAAACCCAAAATGTTAAGTATATATAAATGTTTATTGTCCAAATGCATAGGAATCCAGTGGAAAAGAAATATTAACTGCTTGGCTCCAGTCAAAAGAGCTAAATCATTTTGTTACAGTATGACAGAAAGGCTTTAACCTTTTCACAGGCTTGGTCTCAAATTCTTATGTTATTTCTTTTGGTTTTGGGGTTTAATTTGTTTGTTTATTTTTGTTAAATATGCATACTAACTTCTTTGTTTAAATACGTCAATCCTTAGAAAATATCCTATTTTTGTTGGGGGTTTTGTTTGTTTTTTTATTATTATTATTTCATTAAAGATCAAAAGTAGCCTTATGGGAAAATTCCAAATAAATGTAAAGAAATTTTAAATCTGTTTGGTGGATATAGATGAAGAACAGACATTTTAATCCCATGTTTTATCCAAATTATTTAAAGTGTATTAGAAACATTTTACAATAGCTAAACATTTTTATCACTCCACAAGCCAGTTTTTATCAAATGAGATCAGGTGACAACAAATTAAACTATGAAAGACTTATGATGGGTCCTTAAGCATCTACCAGCTTCCTGATTTATAATTAGTGTTATGGGGCCTTTTCAAAACGGTGATTCGAGAGGAAGTTCCAGTCCAAAAGCATTGTCAAATTTATGCTGTAGAACAAAGTGTTCAAGGTGAGGAAAATAATATATTATAATACCAACTGAATAATGGGCCAGGGTTATCATTAGTTTGTCATTTGTTTTCTATTTTTAATAATTGTTCACTGTGGTGACACTGGAACACTGTGTTCTTGATGATCAATGTCACTGTCTACATCTTTGGTTTTCTTAAATATGTCAGATACCTATTTTACTGTAATAAAATAACTGCTAATGCAAAATAAATGCATAGTTTTTAGAAGTAATAGAAAACTTGTGCTGATGGTAAAAGGTGTGAAAAATATACAAAATGCATACTCTGAAGGGTCCTTACTTTTTTCATAGGGAAAGAGGCTCTTAATGTTCACTAGATCACCCAACACATTCTTTTCAATTCAGGGCCATTTTCCACTTGAATTTCTTAATTATTTCATCTGAACTATTATTCAACAATAAGCACTGTTAGCTTATTTGGAAGCTTTGACAAATTATTCTCCTGCCTTGAACACACAATGCTATAATGTCTGGTTTTAATTTCTGACGCTGTTTAATCATTAACCAATTCCTCTCTGTCTTGCTTATGTCTCTGATACCCTTGTGAACATTGAACAAGGGAGGAGCTCATATTTACGTACATAAATGGTTCTATTTGTAGCTTGTATCCTGATAACCTCCTACTTTAAGGATTAAAACCTTTTAAGTGAATATATGCTTTCAAAAAATCAATTATGATATACACAATAAGCTTTGTAAAAGGAATGCTGGTTTTTAATAATGAAATTTAAATTAAGCATGTTAAGAGCAGTTACCAATGAGTGATGTCTAAGATACAGTAGTACTGTTTTCTTTTTAAAGAAGCAAACAAACATATAATGACAACAATTTTCTTTAACAAGTCTGAAACAGTCAATGATTTTGCTGGTTTGGCTGCCACAGAAACAATAACCTACATTAGTCAAAAGAAATTATTCATAACTCTTTAAGTTACATATGAAGTACTGAAAGCTAAAGTTACGTGGTTTTGCCTATATAAGTCTAAATTTCTTTATTAATATTTGCTTATAAATTTCTCAGTGAATCCTTGAGATGTGATATTCATAAGCAAGCAAGTTTATTTCCTGACTGTGCAAGTTGGTATTATAAGCAAAAGTCTGCTATTATTTTCTCCTTATTTTTTCATTCTTTATTTATATCTTTATTCCTCATCTGCTTTATTGTTCTTGAAAACAAGTGACCAGAAGCATATGATATACTCAGATCTCATGAATCATTTAGAAAGTAATGATAATATTTTCAGTTTCTATGGGAAATAGGGAAATGCCTGCTGCCAGTGTTTCCTTCATGACTGTATCACACCAATGGCTCCTACTTCAATGTGTTCCCGTGCAAGGGTTTTATGTCCTCTTCTTTCAGAATCCTGGAATGTCCTAAGAATTTTTCACTACTTGCAGAAAACTCTCACCATCAAAAAAAAAAAAAAAAATTCCAAAATCCTGAAGTCTAAACTTCCTACTTTTTGTTTATGTTCAAATTTTCCCTAAGTTCTTGACCTCTTGCACACAGCTCTTTTTCTTGATCAGCCCTTTTTCCCTTAGCCTCTGGGCTTTTTGGCTAGAAATGATGCTGACAGAAGTCCCTAGTCCTTACATTCCTTGCTCCTGAGAGCAAATCAGCCTTCTCAGACTGCTCTCTCTTGTAACAACATGTTTTCCCATTTCTTATCTTCATTCTGTCGTACAATAGACTTCTTGTAAATTATTTATCCTACTTTAGTCAGTCTCGTCTTCTGCCCTGTTCCACAAATGTGTCCTCAGCACTTTCTCTTTGGCTTCTTGAGCAACAAAGTAATGTAAATCTTCTTTTCTCTGTTACTGCTGCAAATTTCCTAACAAAATCATACCATCTCCTCCAGCTCTTTCAAGCCCTCGGACACTTTATTGAGCAGCACCTCAGGCATTAAGTAGGTTTTTTTAAATCCATATTCAAATACTGTCTACATCATTCAGAGCTGAGTTTTACACCCTTTCATTTGCCTTGTTTCTGCAACTCTTTTTCAGTGTCTCCTTTGCCACAATAATTATAGCCTCCTTTAGAGAACTCTGCCTCCTCCCCCAACAAAAATCTCATCCTGTGACTCTTGTTCTACTGTTCTCTCTTGTCTCCCCTGATTAAATGTTCTGTCCTCTTGTTCTAGTGCAATTCCCTTCAAGGGGACAAAGTGCCAAGTAGCTGCACAACTACAGTACTGCATCTATTTAGTGTTGTGTATTCTGCATAATATTGGAGCTCTTTCTCTACACTTAGAATCATAGACAACACTTTAAATTATGTCAGAATCTATAAGACTGGGGAGAAAATCAGATGTTTTTCCCATTTGTGTCCTAGTCTTGTAACAAAAGAACTTCATTCTTTAAAAAAAAAAACAAAACACCTTTTTTTTTTTTTTCAGGAGAGAAGCCATGAAGAGTAAAGATTTCATAAACTAATGGAAGTGACTAAAAGAGGAATGGACCCCATAAAGAAAGCAATACTTCTGAACTAGATAGATGTTTCCATATTAAGCCCTTAAATAAGTAATTTTGAAATCAAATTTTCATGGATCACAAGTAAGTTTTAGAGGAAAGGCATATTCTTAGTGCCTTGTCATGGAGTAAATGCTGGAAAACACTGAAAGTCAAAAGAGCATACTCACTGAAGGATCTCTCTGCTCTGTCATTCCTATGTTCCTCTAGTCTGTTTAAAGAAAACAACCAAAGTGAAACAAAAAAAAAAAACAACCAAACTTGAATATGAATTAGTGTCAGAATGTAATTATTCACATCAGATAGAATTCAGAGAAAAGACAGAAAACCACATTAATGTACTCTGAGACAATAAGAAACTCTGTAGCAGGTACAGAGGAACAACCTCTAAAGGTACGTAGGTACAGCTCTCTAGACAAACTTTGAGAGTAATTTCATTTGCATATCAGAAATTTTTGTATCAACAGAAAAAAGTAATATTAGTAATATTTACTTATGAAGAGATCTAGTACCAGGGCCGTAAATTATTTACCAATTTCTAGAGACTAGTCCCATCTATCAAAGAAACATATTTTACATCTCTGGTAACTTATGAATACCATTTGATGCCACAACTATTAAAAAGTTGCTTCTTTGCTATCATGATGCCTGGACCCATCATGATTCCACAGCCATTGTAGTTCCTCTTCTCCCTCCCCACTAATCTTTGCATAGAAGCCCAGGAAATCAGCTCTCAAGCTCCACCAGGTGTTACCAGCAGCCCTCCTCCTCAAGGTTTGAAGGCAAAGAGTGGGCTTTCTGTCTAGCTTGTACTTACTGATCGAGAAAGGAAGTCAGTGGCTGAATGCTTGTCTGGATGAGAGCCAAACCACACCTTAGACTGTTATGTCTTCAAGCTTTTATGTCCTAAAGCTAAAGTGCTTTCTTAGAAGTTTTGTATTTAGATAGAGTTGGGCTGGTTAAAGATTTTTTTCAGCATTTAAACTGGGCATTCTTTAAACATGATTCCCATTTGGTTATTCTCCTCCTCCTTCTCCTCCTCCTCCCCCCCTCCTCCCCCGAAATACAAGCTTTCCTTGTTTTTATTGTACAGTGGTGACTCTCTTGTGGAGAACTCTCCTAAAAAGCTTATTCTGCTTGTATTAGTGTTGACCTTCAAAAATGTTATTCTCAGTAATCAGCATGGCGAGAAACTCTCAGTTTTAATCAGGTTTTGCATTTATATGTTCTTGGTTTGCTTAAGTACTTGTTGATTTGCTTTGACAGTTCTCCGGTAGGACTTCCTTCTCCTGTGTGCTCTTGCTAATTGGCATTTATGCCAGAGTAAAGTTTGCAATGCCTGTTTGAAAATTTTGCCAAAAGGTCACAGAGTCATTGCTATTCCACTCAATACCTTAAACATCAGAATTTGAAATGTAAGAAGTTGAATATTTCCTTTGACCTTTTTTTGGTTTGTTTTTGTTGTTTTTTTTTTTTCAAAGCATGTTTGAGGCCCAGTGCCTTATGAAGATGTGTCCTACACTCGGCTATAGACCTGAGAGGAAGTTTGTCCCTGGAGCAAAGAAAGATTTTATACCCTTCCAAAGAAATTTACAGTCATAGTAGCAGTGTAAAACAACAGAAGTGCTGCAATACTTAGGGGTTAATATTGCTAGCTGAATAGAAGTATGAACATTACTAATTAAGAGCCTTCCTTTTAGTCTGTCCTGCTTTCACTAATTTGAAAGTCACAATCTCATAGAAATAAAACAACACTTGATGACCACAGGCCTCTTCCATCAATAGCTCTGCTTGAAATAGGGGTGACAGGTCCCTGTTTATACAACTGAGATTCCAAGACATCAAACACGTTGCTCACCCCTTGCCTGTCTGTTCAGGATCTCTCTTAAGCAATATTTCCCAGATGGCAAAATCCAGCCAGCAAAGAAAGCTTCTTTCTCTTTACATCCTCCCATGTAATGTCAGTCATTTCAAGGTATCAACCACTCCTTAAACTGTGAAAGATCAACTTAATGTTGTCTTGATGCAAGGATACATGATATTAATGCTAGATTAGCTTGGCAAACACTGTGATTGACATAAAGAAGCCCCAAGTTTTGCTAGTGGCAAAATTAATTTAACTCAAATACATAGTATTTGTAATACATTTGTAAAGAACAAGTATATAGCAAGAAACTCACTTGTAGGACACAGATGGTTAGATTTGACCATTTATTCCCCAGGCAACACCCCTCAGGATGCAATATGCAATAATTAGTTAAAAGGCCTTTCAGAATAAACTTTCCCAGATAAATAAGCAGTAGGAATAACAGGAGCTTCGAAATGTAAAGGACATTAATAAGACACAAAAAATAGAGCCAGAATTACTCAGTGCTGAATATTGTTCTACAAAATGTGGCCCAATCTATATATATATGCTGTAAGGCACTCCCTGTAAATATTATTTGTGGTATATTTATCATAGCAACAAACATCCAACAGGGAATGAAAACATGATTTCTGTGCCTTTAGTGGTAGGATGTTAACATTTAAAACAGTATCCAACATGGAAACTTAAACAGCAAAATACTGTCATACTGATGCACAGAAGTTGGAAATTCTGAGATCACAAAAATAGTTGTCATGGGAGCAACTGCTGAACAAATAATATCTCAGCCTTAGGAAAAGACTCAACTAAAGACTGTGAATGATACAATATGCTACCAGAGGTCTCTAACACACACAGAACACAACAGAAGACTAAAAATAGACAATGCAGTTCTCAAAATGGTAAAGTAAGGCAAAATTTTCAAAGTTTTTTTAAAGGAAAATTATGATACATGACCCTCTCTTACAGCTATACTTTTACTGGAATTTACTGGATCCTGAAGTAAAGAGGTAGAATGTAGTTTGAAGCACTGTAATTTTTCTCATGCTTTTAATCCTATTTAAAGAGCAGAATGAAATCCTAATGTGTGTCAATTGCCATAGTTTTACTGAAACCAATCAAGTTATTTTGATTTCCAAAATTTTTGAGAATTTGACCAAAGTGTTAACCATGGAAAAACAGATTTATTGAACAACCGAGGAAAGCAGCACACAAGCTGTTGTAAACAGACCAATAGGCAGAAAAAAACTAGAATCATGATTCTAAGAAAGAAGAACAAAATATCTCTACTGCAGATTTATGTCATATAGGATACGTATAAAAAAAGGGAAAAAATTGGAAAAAAAATTAATTCTGCTTTATGTTACCCTAAATCACTTATAAATAATGATGCAGTAGACTTAAAACAATAGCAATCGTCCTTAGTCTCTTGAGTTTGAATACAGGAGAAGTGATTACTGGAAAAACTCTAGTGTGTGTGTGCTACACAAACCTTCCACTTTCATGTAAATTTTGAATGTATTTTTGTGGAATGTAGCCATTATGAGATTGCACACTGAACCACTTTTTTTCATGCAAGCGCTGAGTGCCATACAGTACTTGTCACTCTTTGAAGTTTCTTCTATCTATTCATATGGATGATGGTTTTCCTTCATTTCTTGGCAGCCAAACCCAAACTGAACAGAAGACTGGAAGAGGTTGTGTGTTTTTAAAATAACGAGAACTAATGCAGTCAAAAGCGTAAGTGGTAGTCAAAGTTCCTAACTGTGCAGCACAGCACTCATCCAGAAAACTTTAAATTTTCTTTCAGAAGGGGTAAGGTGACTCTATGACTGAGAACATTCACTTAGATAAAAGTATTTTTAAAAAAGACTGAAGAAAGTACTTTATGGGGATGTTAAAAATAACTGTATCTTAAAATAATTGGCAGTACTGCGAAGAGTAAATAATTCCCTGGGTGCCTTTATATTATAAAGCTGTGTAGACCAATATTATTGAAACAGAGGAAGTGCTTGGGTAAAAGAGTTAGCACTGTAGGATTGCTAACTTTATTTAACACACAAGTTGTCAAGCCAATAGCAACTCACTGCATTGACAGTAACTGAGAGGTTATAAATGATTATGATATGCTCATATAAGAGGCAAGATAAACTGTAAGAGATGAAATGCATATTGTAAGTTTAATCCATGACCACATTGCAAAAAGCCAATCAGTTCTATTAAATGTGTATATATGTGTACAAATATCATTGACAGAATTATGAGTAGTCTGGGTAAGTAAAAGAAACATTTGGGGAGATAATGTAGTCTGCCAGAAAAATTCATACTTCTTACAAATTGGAAAGTGCATATCTTCAGATCAACATCAATAATGAAAAGAATTAGTCTCATTTCAAATCAGACTGCTTTCAGGATCTCCCACTGAAATAAATGCCTGATTCAGCTATAGGTAACTGCCACATCCATATTGTGGTAAGGCATAAGAGGATGGTAAGATAAAGATGAGGTTTCCCCACGGTATTTTTTTTCAAGTAAGATTTTCATCACATTTGAATGGTGAAGCTGGAAATCAGCAAAGGAGAATTCATATAAAGTTTGTCAGATCTGGGGCTAGTGTTTTCAAGTTTATAACTTTAGCCTCTTTTCCCTTGCTGTTTATCAGCACAGATAAGTATTTGCTTTTTAATCAATTCTTTAGAATTTTACATAAAAATTTCTTCTACGTAAATACATTTCAATTTTTGACAGGCGCTGTTGAGTTCTAAACGTAAAATATGAAAGAAAGTAATTTTAAAATGGAAAATGTTACATTAATTTGGCCCCTTCCTAATGTAATTTTCTGAAGAGCACTGCTTTTACAAGCCTGTACAACCTAAGGTAACATACCTTTCTTTTTTTAGGTCAGCTTGAGTTTTCTAAAAGTCATAATGTCACTATCTTGAATAAACATACGTGTTATTTTCAGACATTACAATGGAGCAAATGCTGGCATTTACCCTTTTCCTGAACAAAGTCGTTTATGTCTTTCTGGTTTTGATCTATTTATTTTTGTTTCAGTTCACCAGGCACTGTGAGAACATTTTGTTCATTTGCAATAGCTATTTCAAAACTGAGCAATCTAGCTGAGAAAAAGAAAACAAACTTCCTTCTCTCTTCATTTTAAACTATGAATTTAAAAAAGCATGGAAGAGCTCTATCATTTACTAATTCTAAATACCTGGAACAATGTAACAAACTTTCAAAATTCCTTTTTAGACCAAGGCAGGAATGTACAGAATTCATAGCAAAACTGCATCCCATAGACCCCAGTTTGTGGTCAGCTGGAGGAAAGATAGATACCATTT